TTTTGAAGCTTTTGTTGGTTTATTACTGATCCGTCAAACACCACTGTACATTTTGTAGTTGCCTTGTCCGCGCGTATAATTTGATTATGTGGCAGGTTAAAGACAGGTTGTTTATCGTTCTCAATCAATCGTCTTTCAAAACCATTTTTAAAGAACTGTTGCCTTGCTTCTTTTCTTAATTTTCTTTTAGTGTTAATTTTTCGACGCAAAGCATTCTTCTTAAAGATTGTTGATAGTTTGATTTAAGATCAGGACAATTGCTCTTACATGGTAACGCTACTTCATATTTGTTTACATCAAACTTAACATTGTACTTGAACATCTGAATTGCTTCTTTATTCTTTAGTTACTTCTTTGGGTGTTCTGATACCAATAGACTTTAACTACAAAAATGTCTTCAAAAATAAATTTAGTTTCTTGATATTTGTCCTCTTCTATTCTGTTGATTGCACAATCACTTGAAATCTTCAAGTACATTCGGAGTCTCGGAGTGTCTAAACGTCAGGCAGCCTGACGTTTAGTTCTGGGACTAAACGTCAGGCAGTCGAATTTCTTCTTTTAAAATCGTCGAAACAACCGTAATTTCAATTAATACATCAAGGGAAATGCACTAAAGACCGATATAATACTGTTCGACAAGTTTCAAACACAAGCACGGCATTTTGAGATTTTTCGACTGCCTGACGTTTAGTCCCAGAACTAAACGTCAGGCAGTCGAATTTTGTTTCGAAAAATCGTCGAAACAACTTTAATTTCAATTCAATACGACAGTAGAAATGCAATAAAGACAGAAATAATACTGTTCGACACGTTTGTATACACAAACATGCACACGCTGCACTTTGAGATTTTTCAACTGCCTGACGTTTAGTCCCAGAACTAAACGTCAGGCAGTCGATTTCTTTTTTTTTGAAAAATCGTCAGAACAACAGTAATTTCAATTGATACAGCAAGACAAATGCAATAAAGACTGTCAATTAAGTTTGTATACACAAGCAGCGGCACTTTGAGATTTTCGACTCAGATGCATTAAATGTCCTTATCAACTGCATATCAAATGTCATAATCCTTATCCCTTCAAAATGAAGAAAGAATGGTCCAATTATAGGGCCTGCACCATTCACTGGATGCTTGGGGAAATGATAAATTGTTCTGGTAATGGTTGAGGGGGGACGGGAAGGGTCACGATATTTTGCCCGTCTAATATCAGTATAGGGTTAGAAAATTTCACTTACCCACTATGGTTGGTCACCCTATTCTCAGTGCCCACTTTTAAACTTCCACCTCCCCTCCCCTTGCTAATTTTTGACAAGACCCTTATTTCGGTCTTTATTCCATTTATCTTGTGCTATTAATGGAAATTACAGTTGTTCCGACGACTTTTCACACACAAAAGTCGACTGCCTGACGTTTAGTTCTGGGAATAAACGTCAGGCAGTCGAAAAATCTCAAAGTGCCGTGCTTGTGACCGGGGCTTGTGACTATACAAACTTGTCGAATAGTATTATAATTTCGGTCTTTAGTGCATTCCCTTTTTGTATAAATTGAAATAACGATTGAACCGACGATTTTTCAAAAAAAAAATCGACTGCCTGACGTTTAGTTCTGGGACTAAACGTCAGGCAGTCGAAAAATCTCAAAATGCCGTGCTTGTGTTTGAAAATTGTCGAACAGTATTATATCGGTCTTTAGTGCACTTCCCTTGATGTATTACTTGAAATTACGGTTATTTCCGACGATTTTTCACAAAAAAATTGCTGCCTGATGTTTAGTTCTGGGACTAAACGTCAGGCAGTCAAAAAATCTCAAAGTGCCGTGCTTGTCACTATACAAACTTGTCGAACAGTATTATTTCGATCTTTATTGCATTTCCCTTGTTGTATTAATTGAAATTACCGTTGTTCCGACGATTTTTAGTTCTGGGACTAAACGTCAGGCAGTCGAAAAATCTCAAAATGCCGTGCCTGTGTTTGAAACTTGTCGAACAGTATTATTTCGGTCTTTATTGCATTTCCCTTGTTGTATTAATTGAAACTACGGTTGTTTCGACAATTTTTAAAGAAAAAATTCGACTGCCTGACGTCTAGTCCTGGGACTAAACGTCAGGCTGCCTGACGTTTAGACACTCCGTTTTATATTTGAAAGCAAAGGTCTCTTCACCATCACTATCCTTTTTTCTCTTCCATCCATTTTTGATCATTCTTCTTAGAAGACCAAACCAGCACGTTTCTAGTTTTTTTAGTTCATCCTCATTTGGTAATTGAGCTTCAGAGCAGTAAAGAAGTCGAGATCGCATACAAGATTCTAGGATTTTCTTTCTTGTTTTCATTTTTACTCTGTTGTCTTTGAGCACATTCTTAAGNTTAGAACCCAATCAAAGTACCAATTGAATACTGTAGGACTTTCTATACCACCCTGTCTGGTTCCTGCTTCAATAAGTAAGTCGTTAGAATCACCAAAGATTTTCCCAGTCGTTCCATCATATAGTAACCATAAAATATCAATCAACTTCTTGCAACCAGTTCTGATTTTCAGAACTTCGTACATTATGTGTCTTGGTACCTTGTCAAATGCTGCAGTTAAGTCAATATATAATGCAATGATCGAACCTTCAGTGTTCTTTAATAGTTGTGGCATGATAAATACCCCATCAGTTGTTGATCTGTCCTGTCTAAAACCGAATTGTGCATTTGAGATATTTTCCTCGTAGCATTCTTTAAGTCGTGTTACAATTATTCTGGATAAAATCTTTGAGATGTTAGACCCAACAGAGAGAGCACGGTAATTACTTGCAAGTTGTTTACTTCCTTTTTTGAAGATGCAATTTATAGAGAGTTTCAACCACTCAGATGGAATTGTCATTGTTATCCAGATAGATTGCAGTAACATCCAGATAGCCGTAATAAGCAGATTAGAAGATGTTCCATACTTAATGGCTTCAGTTGGTATTGTATTATCAGTACCATAACTCTTTCCATTGTTGAAGCTCTTTAAAGCAGATGTTATTTCACCTTTGTCAGGTGGATTTGAGTTTATGTTCAGTTTTTGATCGTTAAATAATTCCGGATTCATTTCAGGGTGTACCAGTTCTTCAGGCATTTCAATTTCTTCTCTCTTCTTGAAATGATCTTTGAAATGATTAGTTAGAGAGGATGGCTTGATTTCTGTGATATTCTTCCTCCTTATTGTTAACAAATTGAACTTATTTGAAAGAGCAAATTCTCGTTCAACTTTTCTTGAATTACTCGCACAGTTGAGTTCCATGGCTTTTTTTCATAGTAATCATTTTTCAATTTCACCTTCATCTCCCTGATTTTTTCTCACTGATCTTTTGAATTGTCTGACGATGTTATTTTGTCTAGCAGCTCACGTGATTCCCATGCTTTTTTAAACTCTTTATCCTTTTGTGGCATTGGTAGTTCACTGTCTAATGCATTGTGGATATTGTTGACAATTTGATTTCTTCAGGTTTCATATTTTCATAACAGACACCACTAAAAGCATTATCAAGTTCCTTGCAAAAACATTCTTTGCACTTTTCATTGTCTCTTAGAAGAGTGACATCCCACTTTTTCTTTTGAGTGTTCTTTGTTTTCTTCTTTCTGAGTCTAGTTTTCATAGTCTTTCCATTGCAAGGTATTTGTAGATCAGCTAGGAGTATGCTGTGATCCGTGCCTATCGCTTTCTTCCAATCGTTTGTCGGTTTATTGTACACTCTACAGTTTTCCATCAATCTGAGAAGTTGAGTTCCTCCTATTATGTAGTCTAAACGTCGCTTGGTGCCGTTTGGTAGGATGTGAGTATTTCGAGGAATACATTTAGATTTGAAAATTGCGTTCCTGATAGAATTCTACTAGTAGTTTTCCGTTTTGATTGGTTTCATCGTTAGGGGAGTTATTACTTCCTATTGTCGGTGTAAATTCCTCCACAATATCATCCGCAATAACATCGTTAAAGTCGCCAAGTAGTAGAGGCTTGTACTTTTTCATCCTTCATGACAATCATCGATTTTCGAAGTTCATTATAGAAACGCTGTTTCATTTCAAGATTGTCGACTGCAGTGGGGGCATAAGCATTTCTTATTCGTAAACATAAGCCATAGCATTTAACATAGATTGATAGATTCTACAAGCCAGATGTTCCACTGTTTTTATCACAGTAACGTCAGGACCGATGATAAATCCAACTCCTGCTCTACTCTTCTCGTTGTTAACATGGTGTTAAGGACGAGGCCGTTCTTATACCATTCAACAGTATTTGATCTGCTCCCACTGATGTGTCCTATTTGTGAGGCTTGTCTTGGAAATCCGTCTTCTAGTGTTAATCTTTGAAATGTTTGTATTTTGTAGTGTGAAATTGTAATGATTCTTATAGAAACAGCGCACAATCCATGCAGACATATCGATTCGTATCCCTTCACCCATTACTGCCGACAACTGAAAGCTGACGTTCTCGAACTTCATAGTTTTCCAGTTCTGTCCTACATCTCCAGGCATATAAAAATAGCCATTGCTATTGTTGTTGCCTTCCTTGACAGATCTACGGCTTCAGCGACCTCTGTTCGAATGTTAGAGTGGTTACTCCCTATATATAATAGGAAACAAAAAAAATGTATTTCCCATTTGCACATTGATAAGCTGAAGCTCTGGGCAAAAGTCGCTCTATGTTGTCTATATTAACTGTTATAGGATGTGCTGAATTTCGTTATAACCTTCTCTAGGCAGTCTGATTGGTTAAACTGGCAGTATACAATATAATTTTTAAAGGAAGTATCAGAAAATTATAAGATATGGAATCTACTCTCTTAAATGTTTGGAATCCAGAATCCAGAGTTTCGGATCGAGAATCTAGCTCATATCCGGATTCCCTTACATGGGACGAGTTGCCATCACGAAAACATTATCAAGTAAATTTATTCAAAAAGTGGTGAGCAATTTATAGTAATTTTTTCAAACAATAGAATTCATAATAAAGCCTAAATAAAGAATTTCGTAATGAAATCTGAATGGATGTTCAGAGAGGCTTTACGTTTACAGGTGAATAGCATCTCCTAAATCATACTTTTTTTAGCACTCTCTCAATACTATAAAATCATCTTGAATGTGACGTATTCTCTGATGAAGATGGCTCTTTGCAGAAGCTTTATCATCCAGAACAATCAGGGTGTCATTGAGGTTTCTCCTATACAATGGAAAAAAACACGCACTTTCAAATGTTGTAAATCATTTACATCAAATTAAGAACATTTTGGACACTTCCATCATATTTCAATCAAATTTACAACCTATAAATTGCGCAAATTTTTCCAGTGATGGTTTGTTTGGCATTAGGTTATCAAGCTAGAACTCATGCTCTAGTCCCTTTTCAATTCAACACAGAAACGTATTTGACGATTGATTTATTTATTCTCAGAAAAAAGTGGATACTCCGAGTGGTCCAGTTGGTCTCAATGTACCAAGACTTGCGGAGTAGGGACACAGAATCGCACTCGCTACTGCAAAAATTCCACATCTATGGAAAAGCATTGCGAGGGACCAGCTTCACAGTCTATACGATGCAACATACAGATGTGCCGAGGTAATGACTATATTTCCTTTTCATTGCATTTTGCATATACACTAGAAATCAGGAACAAAAATATGTTTTTCATATTCAAGGCACTTTATTTCTTTCCTTTACGTCCCCTTCCACCGATTAATTTTTGCCTCTTCGCGTGGATAAACTGATTGTATCCTTTACTCTGACGACTGTCCAGGTCGAGGGCTTGCGGCACGGTTTTAAGGCCGATTTAGATGGTACATTTTTTGTCTACTACCATCACATGCAACATGCCTCAGTTATCATTAGTTTACTACAGCATGGCTACACTGTCGTAGGATTATCAAACAATTCTTTTTAAATCTCTATGACAGTTGTAGCCATATGCTGTATAATGATGACTTAGCCATGTTGCATGCCAAAGTTGTAGGAAAAAGTTCTATCGTCTAAATCGGACTTTAAAATGCTGCAGCGATTATAAATATTATTGTTACATTTTTTTTGCCACGTTGCGAACTTAGGTTCCCAGGTACGACTTTCGACTCGATAACGTCTGATGAATTATAAATTTTTCTTTATTTCTTTCTCTTTAACTGAAGTACAGTTGTTCTAGTCATGTGCATTTACTGTAGATATTCGTTTTATCATTATTTACGAGCCGCGTTTTTTAATTTTACACACAAGATCATACGCGAATAGCGGTGTTGAACTGAGGATCGCAGGTTCGATTCTCCACTCGAGCACTAAATAATTCGTTTTTCTTCTTTTCTTTCTTTAAATGTAAAATGCACTTGTTCTTTTCACTTTTTAAAAAGAGAAATGACCTTTCATTTTTAAAATTCTCAGAGTAAAATGGGATGCAATCCGAATCCTAAAGGTTCTCTGCATTATGAAAGAAATATTCAGAATAAATAACCTGTGACGTAGGAACACAACATCGCTATCGCTATTGCACTAATCCAAGACCCAAACACGGAGGAATAGATTGTAGAGATCTAGAACTGGGAAAAGCTAAAGAATATAGAGATTGCAGGAAACAGTCATGTCCAGGTAATGKWTATATCGGTGCCTAAAATGTAAAATGTAGGGCAAGAAAAATTTTTTTTAGTTTTACTAATTTATCAAGTGCCTAATATCACAAGATTTATTGTATTGTATTGTATTGTGTTGGTGCGAATAATTGTTTTCTTTTCTTAAGTTTAATGTATTCTGTTCTTTTGTTCTAATCGTTTTAAGTATTGTAAAATAGTGTAATTAAGTCAGTTCACTTCAACGTTTTAACGGAACTCACAACAAACTATCTTGTAAGTATTCTTTCAGTTTTTTCGTATTTTGCCCTTTTTTGTATTATACATTTATTGACTTTTGTAATGTAACATTTTAGGAACCGTTCGTTCGTTTGTAATTAACGTACAGTAGCAATGTGAATAAACGTCGACGAAGAGTTCGAGAAGTTTGGCTATTATATTCGTTCAAGATATGTCTAACAACGAACCCTCTACAAGTGTAACGACTAGAGGAAGAAACCCGAAAAAATCAAAGAAAGAACAAGAACGCGACGAAACGTACAAAAAGAAATCAGAATGCTACGCCGTAAACAGACAGTTACGTGAATTTATAAGGAGCTTATCGGCGTCCAAAGAGAGTATGAACATTGTTTACGACAGATTGCAAGAAGTCAAAGAATTGTTTTCATTGTACAAGCGAAAATTCATGGATTGGTATTCTAGGATTGAAGAAGAACGCGAGAAAGTTTTTGCCCAAGATTGGTTCGACGACAGAAACGAAGACGTCTCTCGCTTCATAAAGGAAACAGAAGACCTCATAGTCGCCACGAATGACGAAATCGAAGGGAACTTAAATCACTCTGGCTCTACTGACACAGCTTCTTGGATAAAGGATCGAGAAGAGGCGGCAGAAATTACAGCGATTTTAGCAACCTTACCTAGGAAACAACAGCTACAAAACGAAATGGAAAAGATCGATCTACAAGAAAGATTAAGCCAAAGGACACGTTCATCAAGACGTGGGACATCACGTACAAAGCTCGCCACCTAGACCTGAATGTACTCCTTGGAAACCATACACGCCAACGCCTGTAGCGACTATAAAGCCAGAGCCGTCTGCATTTCTTGACTTTGAAGATCCAAATGACAACAATATCTCTTATGAAGAACCACTACTACAGTTTCTGGACAAACAGACAAAGTTAACCGAGATCTTAGCGAAACAACAGCAACAAAGTCTACTGCCAAAGCTTACGCTATCACCTTTTTCAAACGATCCTTTGGACTACGACCAATTTATTCGCAACTTCGAGCATCAAATAGAGTCTAAAATAGATTCCAACCAAGTACGCTTCCAGCACTTAGAACAATGCCTCCAAGGTGAAGCGAAAGGACTGATCAAAGGATGCCTTTACAAAGACGCGAACATTGGTTACTCAGAAGCAAAACAACTTTTGAAGCAACGGTATGGGGATCCATATAAAGTTTCCACAGCCTACATAAAGAGAGTCAACGAGTGGCCACCTTTAAAGCCTGGTGACGACTCTGCCCTTCAACGTCTATCAGTCTTTCTTACTCAGTGCGTGTCAGCAATGGAATCATTGGYYTGTCTATCCATCTTGGATCACCCCCACAATCTGCAATCACTGGTGAGAAAACTACCTTACAAGATGCAAGAAGGTTGGAGAAGACATGCGTTAACTTTACGTAAGTCAGAGTTGTGTCTGCCTCAATTTAAAGATTTAAGTAACTTCATTCTTCGTGAAGCAGAAGTTGCCGCAGATCCAATATTTTCTTCTACGGCCTTGAAAGGTTTTGGTTCTACTGTGCAACATCAGCCCAAGTTAACAACGACGTACAGAGTGGCAACACGCGCAACTTCGATGCTCAACACTTCCAGTACATCTAGTGAAGGTGATCTTCAGCGATGCCATTTGCATGTGTCAAAGCCATCATGATTTAGACGATTGTGAACAGTTTAAACTGAASTCCATCACCGAAAGAAGAGATTTCCTGAAGGACAAAGGACTGTGCTTCGCGTGTTACAAGAGAGGACACAGATCACGTGGATGTACACAAAAACGACTGAAATGTATGCAATAAACGTCATCCCACAAGTTTACATGATTACGATTTCAAACAATCTAGCAATCATTCCACTGTGATGCAACAACCTACACTGATAAATGCCAGAACTGTGAACATTGATTTACATGAACATACAGATCGTAATGAAGAGTCATCTATTAAATTCATGCCTATCGTTCCAGTGAAACTAAGTGGAAACTTTGAAGTTATTACAACCTACGCTATGTTGGATTCATGCAGCACAGGGACATTCATTTCRGAAGATGCAGTGAGAAGACTAAAAGTTGATGGCGTACCGACAACAATTGCTGTCAAGACTATAAATGGAACCCAACTACTTCCTTCCAAGCGAATAAAAGGCCTTATCGTATCTGATCTGGATGAAAAGGACGTTATACAGTTACCGCAAACCTTTTCAAGAGACAAAATTCCTGCTTTGAAAGGAGAAATTCCTCATCCTGGCTTAGTACGAAAATGGCACCACCTGACAACAATAGCTGACAAGATGCCTACATGTCTACAACGACTGCAAGTTGATTTACTTATTGGAATGAACAGCCCAGCTGCCTTACAGCCTCTTGACTTTGTGACAGGAAAACGTGGAGAACCCTTATGGTATATTGACGTTTGCTGGATGGACTGTCGTTGGTCCTATGCTGAAGCCCATGTGTGAATTCGACTGTGACTCTTCTTACCGTGTCAAACGACAAAGGGGATATCCATTGTGTATTTGCAATGGGTAAAGCTCGTCTTGCACCACTTAAAGCCGTAACAGTACCACGCCTCGAACTGAACGCCGCCGTTTTATCTGTACGTATTGGCACCATGTTAGAACGTGAGTTAGAAGAGGAAGTTGATGAGAACTACTACTGGACCGACAGTACCACMGTTTTGAAGTACTTACATAACCGCAAAAGCCGGTACAAGATCTTTGTCGCAAACCGGATCCAAACGATAGTAGACAACACGCAAGTTTCACAGTGGCGATACGTAGAAAGCAACAACAATCCGGCCGACGATTCATCTAGAGGTCTTGATCCTGACAGTTTAAMAGAACAACACCGTTGGATTCATGGTCCAGATTTCTTATGGAAGCCAAAGGTTGACTGGCCTAAGTACCCAGTTGATGTCAAGATTTCCAAAGAAGATCCGGAAGTTAGAGATTTGTCGTGCCTTCTCATCAATCGCTGGAAGTACAGTGACCAAAGACCTGTTGCAACGTTGGTCGTACTTCACCAGCTGGTATCGTCTTAAGAAAGCAGTATCACTAGCACTACAACTTCAGGCCAAGTATCGCAAGAACAACGATACAAGTCATAGGAGAGCAAAGATATGTTCACCGACGTCTGACGATCTACGCAAGGCAGAAATTGTCATTTTGAAGACTGTCCAAGCTGATGCATTTCCTGAAGAATTTGCCGTCCTTGAACGTCTACAGAAAGGTGAAGGTGACAGAGCCGCACAGAAACATAACAAGTCAGTAATCAAAAAGTCAAGCACTTTGTTTCGTCTTGATCCGTTCACCGACGATGACGGTCTAATCAGAGTTGGTGGTCGTTTGCGAAAGAGTCAAGAACTTACCGATGAATTAAAGCACCCTGTGATAATTCCAAAGAAAAGTCAAGTAGTGGATAAAGGCCGAAACTGGCGAATTTTTTTCATTGTTTTCTAGCGTCCGTCCAAACAGCTAGCCACTCGATTTTTTGTTAAAAACGCGCTTTTTGTTAAAAAATCCACTACTATGAGAATTAATAATAGAGCATTTATTTTAATAACTGTTCGCCCATATTTCTTAAAAAAAAGAAAAGCCAGATAGGCTAGCTACAAGTTACTATGAGCTTGAATTTCTAGTT